CCCAAAACCCTATATTAAGGCCCCTATATCACGGGGGTCGGCCCCGGCTCCCTTTTCCCACGGCCCAGGCATGGGTTTCCACTGCCTCTGCACGCGCTGCGCCCGGGAGTCGCCAGTGCCGGCGAAGCGTCGGCCCGGATGCCCGAATTCCCCGAATTTTCCGTGGTTTGTTTTTTTTCGTAGGTTTTTGGGGCTTGCGTGAGGCTTTCAATTTGAATAAAAAGTTATGCAGTGTTTGTTTCAGGTTTCGGATTTGGGCTGTGGAGGGGAGGGGGGGGGGCGTTGGGGGGGGGGGGGGGGGNNGGGGGGGGGGGTTTAGGCTTTCTGAGGTTTAAAACTGTATGCTTCGGATGGCTAAAGCAGACTCCAAGCTCTTACACGTACTAGTGAGGCTCAGTAGGATCGGATGCTTTCCGGCCTTGGGTTCACTTTAGGATTTAGGATTTTTGATCCTAGAGAGCTAGGTTTACGGTTTGCTGTTCGACTCTTCCAGAACAGAAGCTGCTGCAGAAGCAAATCCAGCTATCACAGCGACAACAACAACAGCCGCAGCAGCCACAGACGGAAGAACCAAGATCATCATAGGGACAGGTTTCAATCCGAAATTCGACGGGCCAGAAACCTCCCCTGCTTTGAGGGAGCCCGCCGCTACCCTGCGGCCAGCGGAGCCACTGAACTTGGGGGCCATGGACTGAAGAGTGTTTCCTTCTATATGGGATGCTAGCCCATCCCTAAACCCTAAACTTTAAACCCTAAAAGGGCCAAAGGATACTCATACAACGATTCTTGGAGCCCCAGAGCTGGAGGCCAGTCGTGATATCTCTCAGCGGAAGAGGAAAGTTAGCGGGAGCGATGCTCGTTCTGCGCCCCTCGAGGGCAATCTTGGCTGTGCCAAAGCGCACACGGGTGTTTGCAGGATCACTGCGAGCTCTGTGCAGGATTCGCATCTCATGGCGCGTTTCAAGAGGCAGCCCCGGTGAAGAAAACGGTCAGGCTGCAAGTCAGGAGCCGTAGACTTCCCTGTCGCCCCTACACGATCACGATCCACCGTGATGTTGAGTCTCGTATGTGTGAGAGAGAGAGAGAGAGAGAGAGTGTGTGTGTGTGTGTTTGGTTTGGTGTGTTGCTTTGTGTGGTTTGTTGCTTTTGCTTGATGGTGTATTTGTTTGTTTGGGTGCACCGGCATGTGTGATCTGGTTCTCTGAATGTCCTTCACGGCAGGATAGTGCGCTGTGCATCATATGCAGTCTGAAAGCCCGGGCCAGATAGCATTGCCATCCTGCAGCCAGTTCTGATAGCTGATAGCCAAGAACACTGCAGCCAAAGCTTTGTGAGACGACACATCTATCTGTGTCTTGCTGCATACACATCCAATGGTCAGACACCCCGTTTGCAAAGTCTCGCAGCTGGGCGAAAGCCTGCGACAGACAATGTGCAAAGATAGGGCGACGGCAGCACCGTGACCGCCCCTGCAAACCCCAAACCCTAAACCCTTAACCCTAGAGGCCCTAAGCCCGGGTTGTTTTTTACACAGAGCTGGGGGCCATGGTTCTGCTCCTGCTTGCGCTGGATGGAGCCCAGGCCACTTTCGTCTAGGGTAAGCAACCACATGTGTATCATGCCATGCTCGCGATAGGGATCATCATGTCAGTGTCTTAGTAGTAGTAATCGTACGTCGTAACCAGCATAATCATACTAACAGTCTAACAGTAATAGTAACAATAGCCATCAAGGCGCCCCTCCATCCGGCAGAAGCTCGACAGGCAGGGGCCGAGGGTGGCAAATCGCGGAAGCATGAGTTTTGGTTGCGAGGGTCACTTTATGCTTGTTGCAAAAGTCGGGACATGACAAGGGGCTTCCGATTCAAAGCAAACAGAGCCCAAGCCACCAAAGCCTCAATGTTGCAGGTCTGGTAGTTCAGGAGGGTAGGTGCGAGCATTCAGAGGATTCTTGATGAAAAGCCCCAGGTAGGCATGGCATGCCGGGCCGGACTTAGCCCCTCCAAGAGTTGCTCGCGCTCTGAAACTAACGATAGAGCACATGAGGGCCTTAATCATTTAGGGCAGAACCAGAAGCACTGATTCCCCATCTAGCAATGGTCTAGCCCTTGAGAATGTCTGTGCCTCAATGCCAGCAGCCGTTGAGAAGGGACTGGATAGGTTGATCGTTTGGAAAATGAGTGTAAGCCATGTCATCCGGACGGCAAGTTCCTATCAAGACATCACCGACCAATCTGAAGATTTTTTTGGCAGAGTCCAAAGCCGAAGGTAGAAAGCTTACCCCGTTAACAAAAGCCGCAAGGCCCAAGAAGATGCACGCTCCCTTGACTTGCGACTATACAAACCCTAAACCGTCCTAAACCCTATGTATATATATATATATACATATATATATATATATGTATGTACCATAAACCTTATCCTTATATGTCTGTATATATGTATATATAAAAGCCCTCAATAAACCCTCCCCTGCCTGCCTCTTGCCGTTGCCGTCGCTTGGGGGCTTGGAGGCGCAAGTCTTTGCAAGACGAGCTGATGCAGGCTTCCGAGACCGAAGAGGAGGCTCTCGGGGGAGCTGCCATTGCAGGCTTACAGGTATGAGCCTTAATGTTGTAGGGGCCTTAATAACTACCAAAATATAGTTCTGGGTGCTCCTTATTATAATCAATATAGGGGCCTAAATAATTAGAATGGGGTTTTGGGTTCCTTAAAGTTATAACAGTATGAAAAACCCCAAAACCCTGTTCTAATCATTAACGCCCCTATAGGCCATACAGCAAAGGTAAGGACGATGACAAGACTGACATGAAGCAATCAATGATAACACATGCTGCGCTCGGCAAGTAGGCGTGGCTGCTTTTAACGTTAATAGTAGCTGGGGGTTCCCCAAAATAGGGGACCCTAATATAGTACCCCAAATAGGAGGATCCCTATTACAAGGACCCCCAAATAAGGTACCCCCCTATTTTCGGAAACCCCCCAGCTCGTTCAGTTCTAGTGTGAGACCCAGCAGCTCCCGTGAAAAATCGGACTGGAGGCCGAGAGTCCTGAGACTGCCAAAGCGGAGACTGGGCTTTGGAGTACCATACTTTCATACTTTTTTTTGGGACCCATGCCTTAAAGGAACCATTATGAAATTTTGGGACCTATTCCTTAAAGGAACCATTATCAAATAAAAGTCTATACTTTTTTCTCCTCGGTTACTTCAAAGCCCAGGAGACGAAGGGAGCCAATCCTTCTCTTCCTGAGGCTCGGGACTCAGCCGCGGAGATGCGAGAGCTCAGCTGCTGCAGGTGCATGTGCGGTTCTCTCCGGTGAACTACGAAGACCGAGGATGACGATGATTCCGGCGAGGATGAGATATGGTACGGAAACGATGAGGCCTGCAACGCATGGATTCCAGTATGAACCTGCTGCCGTTTATTGCAATGTCGTTGGGTCTGCATGTTGCGAGCCTGTGAATTCGACGAAACCTCAGTGAGCACTTAGACCAACACACAGTTGCAGTACAAGGAAACGGAAGCCCAAGACCAGAAGACTATGCCCACTTGGAGGTTCATGGGTAGTTATAAGTGGAGTTCTAAGTCCCCTAAGATGGGTTGTAACTATAGTTACCTTACTTATAAGCCCACTTATAACTACCCATGAACCTCCAAGTATACCTCCGAGCGACCCTGGCCTGTTCCAGGGTCCTCCAGAGCTGGGCAGGGCGCCCGGAGAGATGGCTCATCTGGATGTTCGGGGAAGCTCAATATGGGGGCTTGAAGAATTACCAATACTTTTGGGTAATTATAGGAAAATATACCCCAAAACCGTATTCTAATTATTAAGGCCCCCTACGTTACGGGGTTTCGGTTCTGAGGCCCTTCATGGACGGATCCAGGCCTTGAACTTTCACCGGAGCCGCAGGATCTTGCAGAGCAGGGTCCTTGTAAGATCCTGGCTCACTTGGAAGCTCATGGGTAGTTGTAAGTGGAGTTATGAGTCCCCTAAGATGGGTTATATGTACAGCTACCCCCTACTTATAACCTCGCTTTCTTCTACCCATGAAGCTCCAAGCACGGTTCTGGAGCTGGTCCCATGATGTCTGCTCTGCAGAGCTCTTCGTACCGTCTCGGCATCCACTCAACGCAGGAGAGGTGCTGTGACCCTAAACCCTAAACCCTAAACCCTAAACCTAAACCGTGAATCCCTGCTTGGTGTGCTAAGCTCCCATCATCCAGCCTCAACCAACATGGTATTCCGGACACCTTTTCAGGCGAAGGAAAAGAGGTGATAAAAAAAAACCTAAACCGTGGTTCCGAGGTGGCTCCGAGGACGACGAGAGCGAGGCTCCGCCGGGGGCATCGAGCGAAGTGAATTGTGCACTATGGGGTTCAGGCCTACTTGGAGGTTCATGGGTAGTTATAAGTGGGGTTATAAGTAGGGTAAGTATACTTATTATACCAGCCTCGACCCCAAACAGCAATTGAGAAGTACCGATTCCGATACCAGACGGGCGTTAGAGCATCCAGAATGTGGGAGACAAGTGGGAGACAAATGAGTAGCGATTTTTAGAGTAGTGCCGTGAGAAATCNNAACCCCTCAGCTAAAGCTGTTTGGGGAATAACTCATCTTAGGGGACTTATAACTCCACGGAAACTACCCATGAGCCTCCAAGTAGCACACAATCTTTGAGAAGCCTGCAGAGCTAGGAGAGTTCCTTCATGGACGATGATGAGATCGAGGTGGCTGCCCGGTCTGAGTGGCAGAGAGACAGTCTCGAGAGCTTGGGCAACGTTCTGTCAAAGCAGAAATTCGGGTCTCACCATCTTTCGCAAGTGAATCAGGATGACAGGTTTGGGTTCTGAGAGTTTGTGGAGGGTTGGTGTTGGAAAGTGAGCAGGGGCTTCTCTTTAAGGGCCATGTGCCCAAAGTGGTGAAGGGATCGTAACGCAACGCAACTTTGGCCGGTCCCCTTCATGCGAGAGGATTTTTGTTTGCCATTGCTAGGTGACTGACGAACAGTGCAGCAAGGTAGTGCCTGTCTTCCAACATTCTCACACGAGTGGAGGTCTTGTACGGAAGCTGCGATTGTCTTACGGTGGTGCCACAGATGCTAAAGTCTCTGTTTTGCGTGCAGGGAGCAGCTGCACTGCGCAGCGAGCAGGAAAGTCAAGATGCGCCGGGATGCCTGGAGACCTGCAAGATTGAAATGCCCGGCTGCTGTCTTCGTGTCTATGCACTTCATAGTTGCATGTACTGTATCGGTTTGAGCACCTATCTGCCTGGAATCTGCCGACATGTATGTCATATCTGCGCATGCATGTACGTATGTGTATATAATAGTTGTGGTTGAGTGTAGGGACATGCGTGATATGTGGATGCGTGTGTGTGTGTGTGTGGGTGTGGGTGTGCGTGTGTGTGTGTGTGTGTGTGTGCACGTGGATGAACGGATTGAAAAATGGATGGACGTAGCCACCGCTGCCGCCACCGACCACCACCGCCACCGCCACCACCGCCACCACCACCACCACCACCACCACCACCACCATCACAAACACCTACTGATATTGTTGCTGCTGAAGCTCTCCTCCTACTCGGCCTACTCCTCGTCCTCCTCCTCCCCTACGACGACGACGACGACGACGACGACGACGACTACTACTACTACTGCTTTCTCCTACTGCTCCTACTATTGCTACTACTACGACGACGACTGTAGTCTACTACTTCGACGACGACTGCTATTGCTACTGCTACTTCTGCCACTGGTACTGCTTGCGCAGTACCTAGAAGCAGTTGCATGTGCTTGACTTGCGAGCCGCCAAGGATACTGGACTGGTGGTGGTCTCAGAGAGCTTCATCAGAACCCTTTTCTGCCTAGCTCGACATCCGATATCTGTTGCCAGACGCCCTCACCTGCGAAGTTTGGTCTTTCCCGCCAGGTGGTGCCAACGCCAGCTGCTCCGGATACTTAGACGCCTGGTCCGCCTACCGAAGGCAGGAATAGACCAGGAGCAAGCTTCTCCTTAAGAGCTATGGCACCGGTGGATCTCTAGGCTCTGCTGCCCTCACGCGTCAAAATAGCCAAGACGATTCAGCGAGCTTGCGACATCAAGGTCATGTAGCCGCCTGGAATCTCCAGTGGAGCAGAGCCTTTCAATCAGCACCCTTGGCCCCTTAAGCCTAAACCCGGAACCCATAATGTAGGGGCCTAAATAATTACCCATACAATTTTGGGGGGGTTCCGTATCATAAATATAGTACAATATACCCCAAAACCCTATTCTAATTATTAAGGCCCCTACATTACTCCGACACCCCTCAACCCTGCAGTTGCGGAAACCCCTAAACCTTAAAACTACTTACAAGCCAGAAACCCCAAAGCTATTTGGCTCACTAGACCCTGCATGTAACATAGGAGCCTAAATGACCTTGTTCCTTCGGGTTGTTTGATATCAATGTTCCTTACCGTATCGTAATCCTTGTAATAAACCTTATAGCCGCCCTTGTAGAACCCTTATACTAGCCGTTATAGTAACCGCTTAAAGTAATCACTCCTTTCATTGAAGCTGAGACAGGCCGGGCCATTCAAGGAGCCGCTCCCTTGGCAGGAGCTGGGACTTGAAGACTATCCTGAGGCCCCGAATGCCCTGGTTTTGGGGTTGGGGGCTTTAGGGGTTTAGGTCTGAGTGGTTTTGGATTTACTTCCGTGTCTGGGGGTTTTTGGCTTTTAGGGACCATCCCGAGGCATGTTTTTTAAGGTTCTGGTCGTAGTCCTCGGTTTTTTTTCTGTGTTTTTTCCCCGTCCCAATCCCAAACCCTAATTTGCGGGTTAAATAGCAGGGGCTTCAGGGGTTCTGATGCTTTTGGAATTTGGGGGGGGGGGGGGTCACCTAAGAGGACTTGAGGTTCAGAATTGGGCATGCTCTTTAGGGCGTTTAGGGGTTTAGGGTTTAGGGTTCAGGGTTTAGGGCCTGAGGCACGGAAAACTAAACCGTTCTGTTAAGGTGAAAAGCAAAGTGGCTTGACTGGGCACTACAAATACTATCCCCAAACCCTGTTCTGATGGTTCAGGCACCGGTCCTGGCATACTGCGTTTGAAGGTTCAGGAAAAGGAGGGTAGAAAGAAGGGTTGGCATACAGACAATTTCTGATGTCTCCAATCAGGCTTCCCATAAGCTTGCTTGTATTGAACCATGAGGACCTAGGCCTAGACCTAATCGGTTTGCTAGGCAGCCCTCCTTGTTCCTTCAGAGTGCTAGAAGTGCAGGATTTAGAACTTAGGCTCTATAGTCTATAGCCGTTTAACCCTGAACCCTAAACCGTTTAGTTTGACTTGCTCGCCTGCTATCCTTGACAGGTCATCACGAATCCGATCGATCTTAGGCCAACCGGCTCCAATGATAGGGGGGTTTAGGGGGGTAGTCTTGGCGTCTGAATAGTTAGCAAAAGCATTCTCTTATGGCCTCTATGAATGCAAGTAAATCCCCAAACCCGTTCCAATTCTTCAGGCCCCTGTATGAATTTGAGGGACATCGGTTCCGTCTTTTGTAGTCTGTTGGTGTGATCTGCGATACCTTTAGAGTCTTAGAGAGGGCAAGCAACAGCTGCGGTTTGTTGACTTCGATGCGTCAGTCAAGGTGCCGAGCTCCAAGGATGGTAGTCGACTACAGACCCTACATGTTTTAGGGTTTAGGGCTTAGGGTTTAGGGTTTAGGGGACTTATTTCCTGCAGATGCGTGATGATGCGTGTGTCGTTTACAGCATGCTGTCAAGAAGTCGAAGTGTTTCTTCGCACATCACCCTCGACGGACTCGAGGACCATTGCAGAACGACTCGACACTGGCGACTACCAGGCAGCGGCACTCATCACAGGGTTGGGATGAAGTTCTTGCGGTGGCGCCTCTAGCATGAATTTTCCCAAAGGTCATCAATAAAGCACCGCCCCCAACACCCTACGTCCCAATATCTCGACTGCTGTGAAGACCCGGCCTCAGGATGAGGAGGGCTTCGTCAACCCCGACTTCTTCTGGCAGGCTGGACCGTCCAGGGTTGCGGCAAAAGTTAGCAGCTAAAATCTACGCAGGGGTTTCCACTATCAGCAGTGCAACTGCCGCTGCTGTTGCGGCTGCTCCTCCTCCTAGCCCGACTCTCCCCAGACGACTTCTGCTCCTTCTACTACAGGACGACGAATCCTGTTTCAACAGTCGCCATTAGACCGAGCTTTCGTACAACTGCTGGTGATAACGCAGCAAGGCAGCTGAGACTCGGAGCCATACAGGCATGAAAACGAAGTCAGCAGGGCTAGTTATCTCATCTGAAGGCCAATGCGCCTGCTGCATATAGCGGACGCTACCGCTTGCAGTTTATCAGTCGTAGCTAGCAAGAGGCCTGCCGAGGCAGTTTCGCAAGCGTTTTGCATGCAAGAAGCATGTACAATCCAACCTGCTTCATTAGTGGTACAGCTACTGGAAAAGCAGTCTCAGAGGAAACATCGCTTCATGATGTGTTTGCCTGAATTATCGGAGTAATCTCCCAGCAGACAACTAGAGTCCCACGTTATTTGCTCACTGCTGTGGTTCGAAGTCCATCAGGACATCGCAGCGTGCTGGGAGAACTGCAAAATCTACTACGAGGACACTTGCTCCAGATTCTGTGTGAAGATTGTTCTTTTCCTCGTTGTTTTGGAAGCGCAGAGTGGGTGCTTCTTTTGGAAGCCCTCCGGTAATGGATATGTGAGGGTCCCCCTCTGAGATTCTGAGTGCGCCAGCCGTTGAAGCCCGAGATGATACAGAATTCTCTGACTTCTTTCATTACTTGGGACGATATACCCCTATTCGAGGGTACAAGCAGGGTCCTGGTTACATTGTGTAGCGGTTCAGAAGACAGAAGTCTCTGAATTCTTTACTTTGCCCTAAACCCTAAACCGAAAACCCTGAAGCGGTTCAGAAGACGGCGGCGTTGCAGCCTCCGTTCTCGCCAGGAGGATCCTGAGATTGAGGCCGTTCGCATGGCGGAGGATTGGGGAGCCGATCATACGGGAGTTTCAGAAAATTAGGGTACCTTATTTTGGGGTCCTTATAATAGGGATCCTACTATTTAGGGTGCTATATTAGGGTCCCCTATTTTCGGAAACTGCCACGTTGTTGAGGGTTGATTTGCTGCTGCTGCTTATTCGCATGTGGCGTGTGTTTTTTCTTTCGCCGAAAGGGAGTTTATCACTTGTTCTTACTCGCCAGTGTTTCGAAGCTAGGGACCTAAAGTACGGAGGTGCTTGTGGCGAGACCTGTTTTGCAGGTTTTCGAGCAGTTTGAATTCGCGCATGGTCCTTGCCTACATTTTCGTGAAGATGTGTTTCTTGCAAATCCACCAACACAAATCGTTTTCAGGTCTAGGATTCGTGGTGCCGCTGGATCATTTGAGCATCTTTGCTCTCCAAGATTTCCAAGTCCAGAGCTCTGAAGATCTCTTCTTGGGAGAAAGTTTTGGGTTTTTGGGGTCCTTAGGGTTTAGGGTTTAGGGGTTTAGGGTTTAGGGTTTAGGTATAAATTTCCCTAGGAGCCGCAGGGAATATTGTTGGCACTTATTTTGGTCTTCCATGCTTGCAGGAGATGCGCCTGGATGCTGAGAAGATGGAGGAGGAGTTCTGGCGGGATCTGGAAAAGCACCTTTGATGCATGGATGTCCTGCTTTGGAGAGCAGGTAGGCGAGGGCAGAAGAGAGAACCGACCAGAAACTGGGGTCTTGCAAGATTTCGGACTCTAGATATTGCTAGACATGGGCAATTGATCTTATGAATCATATGTTCTGCGTTCAGTGCGTGTCGATTGCGGGGATTTGCGGGCACGCGGGGCAATGCAAAAGCGAAGCAGCCACCCGATCACAATGCCCCTAAACCCTAAACCCTAAACCCTAAACCCTAACGACAGAGTAAACAATATTGTGCAGCAGGTCCGAGGGCTTCGAAGCAGCGCAAGCAGAATGAGCTAAGTCACTGGGATGCCTGCAGGGTCGTCGTAGCTCAGGCTGTGGCTCATGGTCTTGTCTGGTTACTCTAAACCCGACTTTGCATCGCCCAGGTTTGAAGCTTCTCTGGATCGCGTGAAAGGGCCCTCGCCTGAGCCGGTCGCAGGGTGTGGTTTTTGTCCATTCGGATTGCAGCTGCAGGTTCTGACACATTTATGTTTCGAAGCATTGGGCTTTGAGGATGTGGTGCTTTTGGGGTTGATGTAACTCAAATCGGACAGCACGTGGGCTGTTCGACAGTTCTTTGGCCTCGAAGGTCGCAACTCCTTTGCACACAGAGCTATGGACAACAGCAAGCATGTCCGTCGTCTACATGATTCGCTTCAACTTCATTGCTGTACCATCACGGGTGTGTGTCCAGGGTTCATATAATAGGGGAAGTTCTAACACATAAGGTCTCGGGTTCCTATTCAAGGTTACTGTTTTTTTTGGAAATCTTCACCAAAGACAGTTGGATGCGCCGGGGCCAAGCCACCGTCCAAGGGGCCACGAAGCTCGGGCGCCTCATCTCTGAACCGCACACTCAAGCCCAGTGGCCATACGTCAGACGCCGTACACTCTGTACCCGAGTCAGGCTCTACCTCGGATTAGCTCGCAGCTTGCTGCTGGATGGGGTCGGACGAGTCGGACAGCTAGAACTTAGAACTTCTCGTCCTGTAGAAGCTTCGATGTGCTGCGCATCTCGGCACGGGGTTCAAGTTTGTAACTTAGTTTGCCTGTCTCGTGCTCGTGTTTCCTGCTCTTTGAACTGTACGGAACCCGAAGTCGTATTACACTGTCAATGATCTGAGCAGCAAGGTGTGATTGAGGCGGAGGCTAAGTACTGTCTCATGCTGGTAACAGTCAGTAATATGATGCAGTATACCAAGCAAACTACCACGAACTATCGTGCAAACTGTAATTCGTGGTACCAGTTTCGATGACAGGCCTGCTTCAGAGCCTTGGTTCCCCTTGCCCAGCATCCGACAGGTTCGACTTGGCGAGTAGAGAAAGGGAACTCAACCAAAACACACAAACAGCAGCCTGAGGCCCAAGCCTCAGAAGTACAACCCTAAACCCTAAACCCTAAACCTAAGCCCCTATACACCCTATACCCTGCACTCGAATCCCCAACTTGAGCCGTGGGCCTTGCCTCGATCAGACAAAGCTTGGCAACAGCAGCCTGAGGTGTCCGTGACTCTCTGAAGACCCTAAGCCCTATACCCCTAAGCCCTGAACACCCGAAACCCCTAAACGCTAATCCCCTAAACCCTAAACTCCTAAACCCTTAAACCCTGAACCCCGAAACCCCTAACGCCCTAAACGCCCTAAACGCCCTAAAGCCCAAAACCCTAAACCGAAACCCCTAACACCCCTAAACACCCCTAAAACCCCTGGACCCTAAATACTAAGGGTTTAGGGTTTAGGGTTTAGGGTTTAGGGTTTAGGGTTTAGCGTCCCTAGCTCCCCAAGTTTGCAGGGCGGCTTTGAGCAAAGTCGCTGCAGTTGCCGACGTTGCCAAAGGAGCGGTCGAGGACATGGTCATTGCATGATGGGTAATGTAGGGGCCTAAATAATTATCTATACTATATATATATATATACATATACATATTATTTATTTTTTATTTTTTATTTTTTTTGTTT